CCCCTTTCCCAAATAATTCTTAGTATTTATTCCTATTACAAGGATGTCTCCGGGACCCATGGGCCATACATATACGCACTGCTTCAGTAGCCAAGCTGCACCCAGTGCATTATTGCGTATTCTTTCTTAATGCAATCAACACTCTCCTAAAGGTGTACAGGATACGGGGTCTCTGCTTCAGCCCCTTCAGCTGGAGGCCCCCACAGCCCTCCTGCTGCCATAGCTCTGCCTCCTTCCTCACCTGCAGTGTGGGGCCACGCATAGCCCCACAAGCATCCCACAGAGCCCCATCCCGGTCCTCTCCCCTCCACCAGTCTCCTCCACTCTGCCCCATTGCTGCCGTGGTATCACACCCTCTCAACCTCTTCCCAAACAGCTACGATCAGAATACCAAAGAAAATAACACATGATAACAATCAAACTCGCTTTTTCCCCCATGAGCTCACACCAAACACCACTCAGGGACGCACAGCCTTTTACATCCCCCGACCCACAGAGAGCTCAGCCCACCTGCACCCAGCTGCCAGCGTCCTGCCCTCCTGCAGCAGCTCCCTGGGAGTCCCTCTGCTCCTGGTGCCCTTTGCTGAGTAATCCCAGGCTGTCACCTGGGGGAAATGCCAGTTTGCAGCCAAGTGCCGGCAGTTGAGGTCTGCGGGTGCTGCTGGGTTCCTGGGCTTCTCCTGACAGCCCCGCTGCCAAATCCTAAGGGATCGCTGTGTCCAGAGAGACATGGGGCTTTGCTGACACAGAAAATAAGCACTGAGAAATACTCTGAGATTTCCCAATGGGGGATGAGCCTTTGCAAACGGGCAGCAGGCTCTCCCTAGGCACAGTCCCATCTCAGTCCCAGCTGCCCTGATCCAAGCACCACGGCTGGAGCTCAGCTCTGACCGCTCCGAAGCGCCGACCTCATCTTTCTGTTTGCACACACCGTGCGGTCTTATATTTAGCATAGGACAGGAGAACTGAAACAAATAACCCAGAGCTCATAAGAATAATAACCCCTGTACCTTTACCAAGCCAAAAGCCCGACCTTTCACAGACAGGTAAGCCGTCCCAGCAGGAGGATGGATCTGGTGTTTTCTGATCATCAAACAGCAAAGCATTAGCCAGACCGGGAGAACAGGCTCTTATCTAGACCTGATTTCTCTCCCCTCCAGGGGATCCTGTAGGATATTTCAGTTCTCTCTCTTGCTGTATGACTCTTCCCTCCCCCAGTTGCATGAAATCAGCCAAATTCACAATCTAATCTGGCTGGGAGTCAAAGGGGAGAAAAATCAAGTCCTAATGCAGTGACTACTTGGAATGGGGAATTGAAGCCAATCAGAAAGGCATTATTGATCTCCGTTCAGGGCACCTCGGCTAGGAGGGGAAAGCTGTGGGAGCCGCAGAGCCGCCCTCCGGGCCTGCGGTGCTGATGGGGTGGGAGCCCCGAGCCGCTGCAGCATGCGAACGCCTCTGGCATGCATCACCCTGCTGTAACAAACTGTGCAGGTGTGCATGGCGAGCGTTGAAGGGGCAGACGTGTGCAGGAGGCAAAGCTGCAGGGCGTGGAAGCGTGCACGGTGTGAGCGTGTGTGTGCAAAGTTGTTCCGCGGCCATGCGCCTGCACTGTCCCTGCAGCATACAGGGAGAAGGCAGAGGAGAACAGGGCAGGCAGCCGGGGCCGGGCTCGGCTCTGGGTTTCCTTGGGTGAAATCCCGGAGCTTCGGCCCGCGGTACCGCTGGCTCCACGCACCTTACATAACAGAGCAGGGACGTGGTGGGGAGGGGGGACCGAAAGCGAGGAGATCCGCAGAGCAGCCCCTCTAAAGCAAGGAGGTCCGGAGCTGGATGTCCTCGTAGGGAGTGGATGGAGGCGGTCGGTACATCGCTGCGGGGGGTGCACGGCCCGGCTCGGAGCAGCCCCCCGGCTCCCCCCGGTACGGTGCGGGACAGCTGCGGCCGCCGGCAGGTCTCCGCAGGAAGCTGCGGCCGTCCCGAGTCCGGAGGGGGCTGCTCCGGGGAAGGGGCTCAGCCGAGGACCCCTTTCCCCCCCCCCCCCCCCCGGAGCCTCAGGACGCGGGGCGATAGCGCTGGGATGTTTGAAGAATCCCACGTTTTGGAGGGAAACAAGAAAGAAAACACGCCATCAAGCCCCAAAACCCCCCTGGGGTCCCGGTGGCTCCTGCCCCCCCTCGGACTGAGACCCCCAACCTGCCAGGCACCACAGAGTCGCGCGGCTGCCGGCACCTCCTTACCTGCCGGCATCGCGTCTGCTGCTACCCCGCTCCGGTTCTTCCTCTCCTCCTGCCTCCTCCTCCTCCTCCTCTCTCCCTCTCCCTGCTGCTTGGGGCTCTTTATGGAGATTCATTCATTCATGCCTTCCCATCGGTCCCTCAGCGTTTCCCTGCCTCCCGGAGGCAGAGCGTGTGACGCCTCGCCCCTTTCCAGCCACTTTCTGCTGTCACAGAGCGGCGCTGCCCCATCCCCGGGGGGCGGCCGGGCCGGGACACGCGTGGGCAGCCCGGGACGTGGGAGCATCCCCCAGTGCAGGGTGGAGATGAGGGGCTGTGGGCACGGCACCGACCCGCTTTGGGGGACACGAGCTTTCTCCGGCGCCTATCACCGCGGCGTCGGGGCGCCCGCGGGGCTTTCCACGCTGCCCGACCCACGCCACGCCGCTGTCCGTCGCCGCGGAGGAGGAGTGGGAGCGGGTGGGCTGCACAGTCGGGACCCCCTCGTCTTCTCCGCGTCACCCTTCTCTCCCCAGCCCGTTCGGCACCGCACTCTGCATCCCCGTTACATCTGTACCCGCCGCACACCGATCCACGCGGAGCACGAAGAGCTGACTCAAGCCCGGAGCGAAGCGGCTGAACCGGGCGCGGGAGAGATTGGGGGGAGGGAGAGCACTGCTCCCCCGGGGTCACCCCTCTGCCCTGCGGGGTACACCGTGCAAAGCTTCCCCCTCCCCATCGCTCCTCTCCCATTGCGCTTCAGAGGGGTTGAGGACCCGTTCCCGTCCTTCCTTCCCCCCCCCCTCCAGCATCCTGCTGCCCGCTGCCCCCCGCTGCCTGCGTACAACGGCTGGGGAGGTGCCGGGGTTGATTTAGGTGCTAAACTTCAGGCGAATCGCCTCCTCTCTGCACACGCGCTGGCTTTATTTTCAGCCAGGCAAGAAGGACGGATCTGCTTTTATTTCTTTTTTCCCCCTGAAGACATCACGGGAAATGCGAAGGCAGCACGGGGGTCTGGGCGCTGCCGGAGCGACAAGCCATTAATTTGGGGTGAAACCGCCCCAAACGCTCCGCGAAGGGCCCCGCCCGCTCCCCTCTGAGCAGTGCCCGTTTCCACAGGCGGTGCCATCCCCCTTTTGGAAACGCTGCCATCCATTTCTATTAACGATCGCTGTATTCACCACTGCAAACTTCTAAATATTTAATACCGTGCGAAGCGGCAGCGGCACGCACGGAGCTGGCGGCAGGAGGCTGAGCGGCGTGCGGGGCTACCCTGCCCCGGGGGTGCCTGTTGATATCGGCCCCCCCCTCCGCTGGGCTTTCCCAGGGGTTGCAAATCGCAGTGTGATGTGGGCAGCGCCGCGGCCTGGCCCCCCCCCCCGTGTGCACAGATGGGGCTGAGAGGAGAAGGTTTTTTTTCTAGCTGGCGGAGCAGAGAGGGGCGGCCCCGACGGGTGGGTGCGTTCCCAGCTCTGCATTGCCTTCCCCCGCCCCTCAGAGCCCGCACGGGGCTGGGGGCACCCACCACAGCATCGCATCCCCGGCCCCAAGGACTCAGGTAGGGGCCTGGGGGGGATGGGAACAAGTCCCATGGAGATCCCCCGCCACGCCGCCCCGCTCCAGGTCGTTATCTGGTCTTCATTAAAATGCAATCAAGAAAATTCTTTGGCAACTCCAGCTGCTGTTCAGCGCGGCTCTGCCGACTGGCGAGTGCCCCCGTCCTTTGGGCTTCGCCTGAATTTGGAAACTGAGACGGAACTTTACAGCAACATCTGTCATTATAATTAAAACTGCTACACATCCACCGGGCGGGAGCACGTTCCCGATCCCCCATCTTTTCCTTTTTTTTTTGTCTCAAACGAGAGACATCGACTCAAACTCACACCCGCTCCCCGAGCCGCACCGCGATGGGGGCCGGGCGGTGCCGCGGGGCCGCGAGGATGCACGCGGTCCCCCCATCCAATCACCACCGCCCCCCTCTACTAATTTTCTTTAATTAAATCTCGATGTGCGGCGCTTTTGTGGAGGACGGAAATAGCCGCCGAAGGAAAGAGCATGTGGGGAGGCAGATCAGAACTGCCGGCGTGGGAACGTAGAAGCGCTCGGCGGGGCTACGGGGGGATGCAGAGCCGGCAGCGGCCCTCCCGGAGCCCCCACCCCACTCACCCCTGGGGATGGGGTCACCCTGGGGGGTTCGGCTTCCCGCAGGTACCGCTTGCAGCAGGGACTCCCCGGGCCGCCCCCACAGCGCTGGGGTGACCCCAAGGCGGGGTACCCTTACGAGGGGGGGGGGAGAAGGGCGCGCGGCGGGGCTCCCCAGCGCGCTCCGGGCCCGATCTCTCCCCGCTACGCGGGGGCACAGAGGATTAAGAGAGGCTCCAGCCAAACCCGGGGACCTCCCGATCGCGGCGGGGAGGGCTCTCCGCTCCCAACCCCGAAGCATCCCTCGCCCGAGTCCCAGCCTCGGCTCACAGCGGCGAAAAGTTTGGCGACATGGAGCGGCCACCGGGGGCTCCGCGGGCACCCGCGGCTCTGAGGGCGCCTGGGCGGGGCAGGGGCGGGGGGCTCGGCCCGAACAGGGACCGGGGGGGGTCAGGGGGTGACGGTTGAGGGGGTACCTACCTGCTCCGGCGGCGGTCGGCGACGCGCACGTCCCCGAGGTGCGGTGAGGGGCGGAGGGCGCACCCGCGGCTGCGGCTCCCCGCGCCCCTCCAGGCGGGCGGGCCGGGAGCGGGAGGCGGGCAGGGAAACGCAGCCGGAGCCGAGCAAATCCCAGCGCTGGAGTCGGCCTCCGAGAAGAGCAGGGCTGCAGCTCCTCACTGCGTCAGGCGGAGAGCCCTGCCCGTGCAGGCGGCGCCGGGCAGCTCTGCCAGGCCCGGGGGTCTCCCAGCGGCTCGGCGCGGCTCGGTTCGGCTCGGCTCGGGACCCAGGCGAGGAGCGCGACGCGGAGCGGTTCGGTTCGGCCTAGCACGATCCGGTCCGGGTTGGTTCGGTATGCCGCGGCTCGGTGTGGTTCGGTTCGGTTCAGGGTAGCGCACCTGGGCTCGGTGCCGCCGGGCGGTCACCGCATGGAGCGATAAGCGGCTCGGCACGGAGAGCAGGGCTGGCAGCGGGGGGAGCAGAGGGCTGCGTGTGTGTGCGCTGGGCTATCTGCGTGTAGGTGTGACAGTGAGACCTGTGTGTATGTAGGTGTGCGAGCAGCAGCCCGTGCGGCTGTAGCACCGAGTGTGAACACGTCTGTGTGTGCTCGTGAGTGCGTGGCAGCTGTCCCTCGCGCCAATCTGACCATCTGTGGGTCGGAGTGGCTCCAGCTGAGCCTAATCAGGTGGGGGGCAGCAGGGGGTATGCAGGCAGGTGCGGCTGGGGCAGCAACGAGGCTGCAGCAAAACACCTGCTCACAGCTCCTGGTGCACCCCAGGTTCCCCAGGCGCCGGTTGCAGCCAGTGTGCTCCGTGTTCAGCCTTCCCCACTCGGTGCCCTGCCCCAGAGATGGCCATCCTGTACTCACAGGGCCTCTTTTAATGCTTTTTCACAACACGAAACTTCAGTGTGATTGAAGTGTGCCTGCCTCTGGAATAAAAGTGCTTTTCCTTCTCTCCTAGCGCTGTGCTTCATGACATCCCAGAGTGTCTCCAAAACCCAGCAAGTCTTTTGTGCAGCCCTGCAAAGATGTGGCAGTGGAGAAGGAGAAGGTGGGTGCAGGAAAGAAATGTCACTCCTTTCATCTTAATAGCAACAGCAACAAAACGCAGCCAAAAACCTGAAGCATGGAGTAATAGAACAGGGAGACAGCTGGCAAACAGGCCGTGGCCTCTCTCCAAACAGCAGCTGGCAACCTGGCATGGCACACCACTGCATTTGGGCACACACCCTGGGGAAGCACTGACTGAAATGCAGCTGGAAGCCCTGTGTGGTGGAGAGGTTGGGGCAGGAGGAGCACATCAGCTGCTCTGCAGCCCTGACATCGCCTCTGACCTGCTGGGGAGGCTGCAGGGCTTGGTTTCTGTATGAGCTGGTTGCTCTGGGGTTCTTCTCTTTCCCATTTCCCTTCTCCTTTTCCTCTTCCTTGTCCTCATTCCCTTTCCTGCTAACCAACTGGTCTCAATAAAGCACAGGGGACCCTCCATCCGTCAATCATAGGATCATAGAATGTCTTGAGTTGGAAGGTACGTGTAAGGATCATCAAGTCCCTGGAGGAGGGATAACCCATTTCTTGCTTGCCTCATGGGCTCATGCCCTGAAGTCAGAAGATCCTCTTGCAATTGCTTGAAATGAATAAATGCATGGGCAGGTTGCAGGCAGTAGGATGAAATAGGCAGGAGGACACTGTGGATTCTGGCACCTTTCTGGGAGGATGGAGGTAAGAGGTCCCATCCCTTCTCTGCCTTCGCTGAATGCTCTTGAGGATCAGTGAGCTGTTCCATCTCCCTTTCTGGTTGTTGGAGAGAGAAGCACCTGCAAGGGACAAGGATGCCACCAACACTGTGCTCCATTTCAGGTCCTCCTCAACCGTGGAGCTCAGCAGAGAGGGATGATTTGCTAAAGGCTCTTTGCATCCCCTAGCATACAGCTCAGCTACCCAGGGCTGATTTGGCTGCCCTAAATCACTAGGCTCACCTGTGGATCAGGGGCAGGCTTTAAGGCAGCACCATCCGTATGGGCAGTCAGGCCAAACAGAGGTGGAACAACGGTGGGCAATCAAACAACTTCATGAACCAAGATAAGCAAATAAAAGAAGTAAGTATAGGTACTTCTAAACAGGTCATTCCAATTTGTCTGGGAGGAAGTGATGCCACCCCAGCCTCTAGCCCTGTATTTAGTAAAAATCCAAACCAGACATTGATAATGTTATTAAAGGCAGGAAGGAGTAAAAGATGTAGCCTTGCTCAGATGCTGTGATAAAGGTGTCTGGGGTGAGGACAGACGTGCTGGATGTTCCCCTCTACCAGCAGAAGACTGACACAGCAGGTTTGAGAAGCCCTAACCTAGTTCAGCCAGCAGTAAAGGAGGGAGAGGGTGGTTGATAAAGCATTGGCTGCTTCTCCCGGTGACGTGGAGGAGGCATGGGAACAGAGCTCCTCTGCTGCCTTTTGTAGCATCACCTGCAAGGGAAGCGCTGGCCAACAGCAAACTGGGCAGCGCTCCATTTGTCTGTGCAGAATAGGAGGGATTCAGTTAGAGAAGGACATCAGTGCTTCTGAACGGTGTGACCTTGGCCAAGCGACCTCCCTCACAAACCACAAATACCCAAAGTCTCCCTGTGAGCCCCATCACAGCACGGACCCACTGTGAGAGCCAAACTCCGTGTTCCCATCCAAAATGGGTCATGAGTGAGAGAGAAGCTCCCCGTGGGAAGGCTGGCGCCCCTTTCCCACCGTGTCCCTGCAGCAGTTGGCATCCCCAGCCCCAGGGGTGAGCAGAGCTGAATTTCCATCCCGTTGCTGTGCAGAGGAGCTGCCATGCAGTTCTGCAGAGCACCGGTGCGGCTCCGGGTCACTTACCATCCCAGGGAGAATTTTTTCTCAGGCTGAGATGCTTTTTAGCTGTTGTTGTCAAACCCTATCTAAAAATCATCAGACTAATTAGAAAACAAAAAATGACATTTTACGGGCTGTTGGTGCTGTAAGTAGAGGAAGGCCTTATGGTATTTAAGGAACGCTTGGAAAACAACACTGATATTTACATCTGGGAAAGAGTTTCCAGGCTCGGGCAGAAGCTGTATTTCAGAACGTTTTTGTTTAATGTACTCAGCCTTGGTGATGACAAATATTACTTCACATCATTACCCCAATTTTTCAGGGTGTTAATATCTCATCCATTGCAAATTGTAGCTGCTGTAGACTTGGCAGCTTGGATGCGTTTTTATGGATTCCCATTTGTTCTGATTTCCATTTTCATCTTTGAAACTTTGAAAAAGTCAATTTTACATCAGTGAAAAGTACTGACATTGAGGATGGGGTTTCTGGCAGCCCACGGCCCAGGAGAGAGGGCCCTTATCCAGTGATGCTCATTGCCGTTGCCCTGCCCTGCCTGCATCCCCACAGCTCAAAATGGATTCCATGCCTGTGGCTCTGGATTCAGTGCATCAAAGGCTGGTTGTCCTCCCAGGGGATGCATCCCATCGGTGCTGAAAATTGTGATGGTTTCTTTTGGGCTCTCTGGACACCCTGGTGATGTAGTGCTGATTATAGAGCATCTTATACCTGAAGACCTTCAAGCAAGTAAACAGAGAGAATTGTTCACAACCAGTAACTTATTTAAAGTGTTGGATTTTTTCTTTTTCCTCCCTCTCATACATGCATTGTCCATGAAAAGAAGGAGCAATTCTCCAATGCGTGTGTTTGGTGTTACTCACAAATCTCCTAGGTGAACAGCTCTTGGCTTGTAGATACCACTGATGCAGAGAAAAGTTTCTCTCTGCCCTGTTGGTTTATGCAGAGACCCCAGCACAGACATTGTGACTCTCTGCTTTCACACGTGGCTGCTCATTTGGGGGCCTCATTTAGAATGCTAAAGGTGTGTCCAGGCTGAGCCTTTTGTGGGATGGTGATGGATGCAAGCCAGCCCTGGTCTGAAGGGCTTCACAGCAAAAGCATTCCTTTGTTACTGTGCCTCCAGTTCTCCTACACTCCTAGTGACCCTTTGCTCAAGGAGTTTTGCCTTGTCATGCACGAGGGACCTTATTTGTCCCTTAAAAGGCAGAGCTGGTTCAAGCTCATCAGTGGCTTCGGCCAAACCAAGTGATGCTGCTCCGGGCTGTCATTGAGATGAAGCTGCTTGGCTTTGCCAGAGCCATCCCTGAAGACAAACCCTAGCAAGAAAGGTTGACGGGGAGCACACACCTACCCTGGGGACACGTAGATGCAACATGACTTTCTTTTCATTAACAGAGCATCAGACTGCACGCTCCCCAAGAGCTCTGATTCATCCTTCCCCAGCACTAGAACTCTAAAATCAGTCTACAGCCCGGGGACAGGCTTTATCCAGTGCTTTGAAAGAGAGCAGGTAAAGTCGTTACCCTCACTTTGCATAGCAAAAATGATATGCATAAAGCTGCACAGAACAACCCTGCAAAGCTCAAAGGAAACAAATGGGCAACTTGCACCATGAATTTCAATGGGACTTTGTGCCGCCAGGATAATAGCCAGTGAGACAGTGAAATATTACATAGAGAGACACTGGGCAGTAAAAACAAGTTGGACTTGCTAATGCAGTGGAATATCCCATAATATTGCCTGGGGGAACATTGCAGGGCACAGTGTGGGGGGTACGTGGGGCACCTGGAGGGATAACAGCCATTCTGTGGGGTGCGCTCGTGCTTCAGCCGAATCCCAGCCCCAAAAGCCCTTCATTTCTTCCAGCTGAAACCCCCCACGGCTGGCTCCCACCTGCAGCTCGTAGCCCCAGCTGTGCCCTCTCCCGTTGCAGGCAATCAGTCCTCACCCCACCCAGCCTCAGCTGTCCCTAACTACTGACCAAGGAAAATCATCCACAGATGGAGGAGGATTGCATGTATTTGGAGAACTCACCTGAGGTTGGAGCAGAGCGTCCCTGAAATTAAAGGGCTTTAAACAGCATCTTTCCACTTAACTAAATCTATTGTGATAGTTACAGCAAAATAGGCTGAGAGGTGGAGGAAGAAGAAGGGGGAAAGGCAATGTGGGGAGATCTGGCGATGCTCTGATGTGATGCAGAGACATTGGATTGCCACCGAGGTGAGCACATTCACACCCAATTCCCTGAGGCACCCTCAGCTTTTATAGGCTGTTGATGGTGACAGCAGTAAATGCAAGGACCCCTTTGAGTGAGCTCTCCTGTATTAAACAGCTCATAGGTTGTCCCCGTGCAAAATAAGAATGCCTGTCTTTCAAGGCTGTGCAACTCCACAGCAAACACAGCGTGCTAAATCCAGCATGGGAAACCATGCCAGAATCTCCAAGCTGCATTTTCAAGATGTCTACAGAAAACACAGCCCAGGGAACTGGCTGTGGGATGGTCTGATTGCCTGCGGGAGACGAGCCGTGCTAGGGTCACCTGTGTTCCAAACCAAAGGGAGAAGGGGAAAAAGCAGGGGACTGCTTTAGTGTGTGGGTGAAGCAACAAGGCAGGATAGGTTAGGGCACAGCTGTTGGTACTTCAACTCTCTGGCTCCAAAATCTGTAAGCTGGGTGAAGCTTACAAACTGGCAATCCGGCCGTGAATCCAGATATCCACCCTACCAAATTGAGGATTAATGACATCATCTCAGTTCCTCCCTTATTTGAAGGCTGGAAAGAGCGAGAGGCAAACGCGAATAGCGGGGAGGCGGGGAGGCGATGAGTCACTCCGTGCCGTTCCTTCCCCCGTGTCCCCGCAGCAGGGAGCCCCGTCCTGCTGCCCTGGGCTGGCTGAGCACAGCCTGTAGAGAGGAACACGGGACTCAGAGGCTGCGAACTGCAAGAGCATCCCACGGAGAGACACTGCCACACATTGACAACCACCAGCCAAGATAGCCTTATCCCTCCTCTGAGGCTCAACCCCTCCTAGGAAAGGGCAGAGCCTGCTGCCCGTGCTGCTGGCAACACCAATAGACCCCAGGGAAAAGGGTTTTTCTGCTCAGTGAATGAGAGCTGGGAGGATTTCCTCCCAGCCTCCCTTCCAAATCTTGATTTGCCTTGCTGAATTAAAAGCGGTGTGGGCTGAAAATGATGTTAGAGGGAAAAAGGAGACGGAAAAAAATCATGCTGAGCGTATTGTTCTGGATAAATAAGACATAGGCGTGTTGCTGAAGGTAGCTAAACCCATCCCACCAATGGTCGTCTCCTACCAGGAGATGTGACAAAAATAATTACTTGGGCTATACATAATTACTGTGCTGCTTTGAGCAGCAGCCTGCCCTTGGCACAGGTAAGGGAGCTTTTGCCTGATATTGGTTAATGACATTAACCATGAGCCCCTTAACGTCCTGACCTGCTAAACAGATGGGGAAGCAGCGGGCAGAGTCCCAAGGAGTGCTCCTATTGCCATTCCCAATTGTATCAGTACTCAGGGGAGCGGTGCCCCACGCAGGGCTGCTCTGGGGCACTGCTGGGTGCCAGCAGTGGGTTGTGGCCCTCAGTGAGCAGGATGGACAGCACAGAGGTGATGTATGGATGAAAAGAGATAACGGGGATGAAAAGTGGACAAAATCACTTAACAAGCTCAGGCGGAGGGAGCTCCGAGTTCCTCCTGCTTCAGTCCAGCTGCTGTAAAGGGGCCTCTTCCACGGGTCACTTGGGGAATCCTCCTTGGGATAAATGCAATGTTTGTCATTTAATACTCTCGAAGGAGGAAATGAGTATTACAACCAGCTGTCAAGTGCTCTGCAGCTAAAATATCAGCAAAGTATGACAGACGCAAGATGGAAAAAGCCTCTGAGGTTTCCTTTTATTGACTGGGATGTCTCTGTTTTTTTTTTTTAATCTTATTATCTCTCAACCTAAACCCACATGAAGTGTACAACCAGGAAACTGAATAGCATCACTGGCAAAGACCGTCCTCTCCCCAGATAGCTGAGAGTGTCAAATATCTGAGAAGCCCAATGGCTTTGGCACGGTGGCATGGAACCAACCCGAGCGTTCGGTCTCAGCCCACGGAGCCCATTGAGGCAGGGCTGATGGAGACCCAGACCTCCTGCACCTCCTAGAGGTTTATGTGGCAGTAATCAAACGACTGGGTCACGTGGAGCCGGGTCGCAGATTTATCACCGCGTACTTGAAGATCACAGGCTATGGAAATTATTGCTGTGCTGGCTGGAATACATTATGCAAAGCAATGCGTTATCTGGAAGCCTGCACTGCGCGCGCACACTTCGGTGATCTATCTATCGCTTCCCATGCAGATGTTCTGCTGCAAAGATGTTCTAATTAATATATTGAAAATACGTTTCCTGCCTTGTCTGCTCCGGAGATGAGCAGAGAAAACAGCATTGAGTGGGGGGAAAAGCCCCCGCCATGAAAGGAGTGATAAAGAGAAAGGCAGGGACTTCAAGGCAGTTGAAACAAGTGGAGTGTGAACCGTGGCCCAGCTCATGCCCAGGGCAAGCGATGGGGCTGATGCTGGTCCAACTCTCCTGATGGCATCACAGAGCCTTAGCAGCAGCTGCAGCTCCTCAATCCTCCTGCTGCCCCCCTGTCAGGATAGCCCTTCTCTCCCTCCATCTATTCAGAAGTTGGACTTCAGAATCCTTACAGGTCCTTTATCCATGACAATCTCCCATACAGAGCAGCCATAGACCACAACATCTGCTCCATGAGGTGCAGCCCATGAGCTATTCCTCCCTGTGAGGCTGTGGGCATTACAGCGGGCATCATCCATCCCATCTCAAGGAGACAGCTTACACCATCCGCCCCAAGTAGCTGCAGAGACCCACAGAAGGATGGGAGATGAGGTGGGCAAGGCACAGACCCAACAGTGGGACACAGCCAGGCACCTCCATCCTGCCTCATAAGGGCAGTGAGAACCGGAACCCCGCAGTGAACACCATCAGTCACAGAGGGCTCAGGCTTCACACTGGGAGAAACTCAGATCAATCCCCTGGAGAAGAAGAGATGTGAAATTAGCCTTGCCAGGCTGGGGAGTGCTTTTAAATTGCAGCAGAAGTGGTTGAGAGATAGCTCTGCTCTCCACAGGAACTTCTCCCCATCCTTGGGATTTAAGCCTGTTAATAGTGGAGCATGATGATATTATCTATTTGTATTGCACTTTTTATCACAGACGGCTCCCAGGGTGATTTGCTATCATGCCCTCTGAGAGCTGCTGAAACACAGGAGCTGCAGGAAGCAGCAGTGATGCAGCCACCATCTCGGTAATAGCAGAGCAGGAGGAATGGAGCAAAAGCCCTTTGCCAGGTGGGAAATGCTGCACTCCTCAGCTTCCTGCTGCTTCCCAGAGGCTTCGGTGCTGGCATCCATTCTCCAGCTCCCAGCCTGGAACGGGGCAGGTGAATGGGGCACAGAGCTCTGGTGGGAAGAAGGGGCTCTGCCGTTTGAGCAGCAACTGATGGAAGAGTTCATGCTCTTGCAGGCTTGAAGCTCAACCCCCACGTAACCCCTCCAGAGACCCTGGGTCTGCAGAACGAGTCCAGGCCACCCCAGGGAGCATCCCATGAGTTGCCAGGCAGCGTGGGGCCGGGAGGAGTGCAGCTGGTGTGTGTGTGGCTGTCCTTGCCAGGAGGACCAGCACCGACAGTGACAGCATCTGCAAGCACCACCTGGGCACCAAGCTGGGGCTGCACTGAGCATCACCTAGCGATGCACGCAGGCAGGACGAGCATTTGTGAGCTCTCCTTCCAGCCAGGATGGACGATGGGCAGAACCATCCCCTTTCCCTAAGAGCTGACGCCTCACCCGATTTACTCACCTGGAGCACGTGCTCAGACCTCCAGGAGCTGTGTGGGAGGAGACAGCTGGGTGCTGTGCAACAAACATTCAGCAGAGCTGCACAGTGCTTCCACTCCCAGCTCCACCACCCCCTGATTGACACCCTGTAATAAAGAGATTTACCACATAATTATTGCGCATTTGGGATGCGGCGCCATTCTTTTTCTTGTGTTTTTTTTTTTTCCTTTTTTTTTTAACCTGGTGACAGCTTTAAACAGCAGTTAAAGTATGTGTTTATATTAATGTCATTAGGTGTTTTTGTGTATTTAACCGAAAAGGCTTCTCCTCAGAACGATGGCATGGTAAACAACAGCTCAGTTGTCTTCTATAGACATTGCTACCTTTACTTTCAGATCAACTATTTAAGTGAATGGGAGGGAAGGATCTGAGCCTGGATTGATGTGTTTCTGTCCTGGTCCCACCAGCAAAAATGTTAAACTGAGCTTAGAACAAACGAGAGAGGGAGCCTGGCATTTACTGGTGGGGAGAAGTGGTAATAAATGATGGCTTTTATCAAGAAATATTACCTAGAAAGTGTATTCCTATTGCAAGGGCCTTCAAACTCAGCGGTGTAATAAAGAGAGAAAGGAAAATGGGAAGGAGGGAATTAGAAGAATGAAAATGATCAAATAAACACACACTTGTGCATGCCTTAAGCCAATAATACCTAGATGTCGCAGTCGGGTTTGTGTTTTTCTGTAATGGAAGAATGGCCACATATCATAAACTGATCTGAATTATCCTGAAAACAAAACGAAAATGAGAAGTGGTGGGAGATGAGGAGTCAGGTGGGGAGTGCAGCCACCACATCACTGTCATGGGAGCAGCAGAACTCAGCCCCGGGCACAGCCTCCAAACGCCTCCCAGCCCTCACAAAAACACCTAATGACGTTAATATAAACACATACTTTAACTGCTGTTTAAAGCTCATGGCACCTTCCTGGAAATCCCATCCCTTTCCCATGCAGATCACTGGGGCTTTGTACACCGATAGGGGAACGCCGAAGAATGGGATCAGCACAGAGCCCTCCATGCCGTGGGGTGACCCCTCCTGGAGCCCTCCTGCTTTGAGCACATCCCTCCCCCAGGCTGTGATGGACACCGCAGAGCCGTCCCGTGGGCTGGGCAGTATTCACCCACCATTAACTGGGTCACTCCGACGTTTTTCCTCCTGTTCCACTCCCAGCTGACAGCAGAAATTCACCTTCTCCTTCCTGCCGTGTGCGACCTTGCAGTGCCGGCTCTCTTCGGTTTAATCACTTCTACTCGTGTCGAGATCACCCAGGTCCTCTGCTATGCTGTTACGTGCCTCTGGATCGAGGATGCTTCCCAGGATTGCATCTCCAGAGCATTCAATTAGCATAAGACTAATTTTTATAGCAAGGTCATTAATTAAAATATTATATGATGAAAACCTCGTCATTCCGGAAAACCTTTCCCTCTGTGAACCGTTAGCCCAGTGCCTCTCTGCTGCACACCACCCTGCCTTTGTCCCACTAATGCCCACGTCCTCTAGTTTAATGAATGGGACCCTGGAGAGGGGAGGCAGGCAGGCTGAGAACTGCTCTGCAAGTGACCTTTGGGGTAATAATAAAGGGAAAAAAAAAGACGTCCTGGCTTAAGGGAAAAGGCAAAGATCTGGCAAAGCTGACCCACCTGCAAGGTTCCGAGTCTGAGCTCATTGAGGCATCTGCATATGTGATAAATAGATGGCGTGCAGAGGGGATACAGAGGAGCCCAGGAGGGGCTGCACACAGTGCCTTGGTGCTCCCCTGCAATCCCCTCCTGCAGAGCTGTGGGCAATGAGCAACCTCAGTGATTGCATTTCTTTGTGTGACCCCATCTAGAACTTTTGGCATCAGATAAACAACTCCCGAGGGTCAATTAGCATGTCTTGAGATGATTAGAGTCTGACACTGATGAAACCCAGCAGTAATTAGCAAATTAAAAAAAAAAAAAAAAAAAAAAAAAACCGAAAAAAACCCACCCTTTTGATTAGTACTCAGCATAATTCCCTCCAATTATTCAAAGTTCATGACTACAGGGGGTGGAATATCTCCAGGAATATTTATTTATATCCCTATTTTTTCCCAATCAACTTTGTGAATCTAGTTAATCATCAGCTCTCGAACTTGTTAACTTGGAGAGCTTGGGAGCTGTCACTCCGTCTGATTGCTGGCAGCAGCCCGGGGAGGGGACCAGAGAGGGCAGAGCACAGGAGCTGTGCGTTAGGCGTGGAGAGAGCAGGGGGGGTGAGTAAAGAAATGAACCCAACTCTCTGCCGCAGCAGAGAGAATAAAAACACAGTGTTTTCCCTCTCTCGGTTTAGAGTCACAGCTTGGTGCTGGCATGTTTTGCATCAGCCTGTCAGACGGCGCTTTGCAAAAGCAGGCACAACACTTCCTTCTGCACACGGACAAAATCCTCTCCAAAGAGATGCTTGCTGCAGAGCCCCAGTATCTGGGCAGGAGCAGGCTGGGCAGCCACGCTCGCCCTGAAAATGTGATCCGCAGCAGTGTAAGCAAAGGTTGGCCTCGAGCTGTTAAGCTCCGTGGCTGCAGGCACGGTGAGCAGCCCCGCACGGCTGGGGCAGGGCCGACCTCCCCACCCCACTGCCCACCCCCTCCAGATGGGAAGCACGAGCGAGGCACAGAGAGGCTGGGATTTCTCTGGAAGTCATCATCGCCTGCAGGGAAGCTTTGCTAAAGGATTTCATGCCTGTCTTCAGATGGTATGAGAACAGCTTTCTTGCCCTAAATCCTCCCACATCCTTTCCAGTAGAAGGGAGGGGACCTGGGACCACGAAACCTCTCTGTATGATTCCCTCCCCAAAGCTGCTACAGCACTCAGCACTCTGGCTGCCTGGAAGGAGAGGTGAGATGGGGACCAGCATCCCCACAGGGTGAGATGGGGACCAGCATCCCTGCCCCAAGCCTGAACCCCCACTGCTGTCAGCTCCATGACCCCATCCCACAGCCCCATCCACCCCAGGTGCCACTCTCCCCACTCTCTGAGATGCCTCCAGACCTGCAGGAAAGGTGGGGGAACAGGGGGTCACTGCTCAGCACCGCAAAGGATCGCGGTGCACAAAGCCGCACCTCTGTCGCCCCGTTCCTCACACCCATCTCCTTGCATGGACCAACTCTGCATCCCAGTGGCACCAGAGGTTGTCCTTCCTGTGAGCACGAGGAAGGCAGAGCTGTGACTGCCTGCAGAGCTGCTGGCTGGGCTCTGAGCTGCAGCTGCTCCACTCTCTGCTTCATTAAAACCTTCTTCCCTGCCCGAGCGAGCCCTGAGGGATGGAGACTAGTCCCAGATAGGAAGGCATACGCTTAAACCTTTCAAAGCCATTTTTCATTGGACTTCTCTATATTCATAACTGCAGACTAACAGAGATTTTCTCTCTAGTTTAGATGATTTTTTTTTTAATTTAATCCTATCCAGTGAGAGCCCTCTAGGGAGCTCCTAACCCTGCTTTAATAACATGCTCATTAGCAAGGTTATTCAGGGAGTGGTTTCTATTTGACACTCCAGCATCTTTCCAATTAATGTTGCTTTAAAACAAGCAAACCTTAAAAAAAAGACAGAATATCAAACAGCTCAGAGTCAGTGTGGCTGGAAGACAGCAATTTCCTC